GGAGAAGGAAAGAGAAGTTTATTACTTTGTCAGCAAAGGAGGAAAATAGCAGACAATGGTCTCAAAATCCACATTCCTGCTTCTGAGTGGAGCTTTTAAAGGTTCTAATCCAATAATCCCATCTTGGGCCAAGTCAATCTCATGGTCTCTCCCTGGAGTCATCCTGTTTTTGGATAAGATACTATCATGACCTCCATCCAGATTAATCCTGTCTTTAGCTAAAACCATCTTGTAACCTGAGCCTAGATGATTCCCTTGAGCTCTCTCCTGTGGCACAAAGAACAAGAGACATTTTCCTGCCACTCCTGATGACTGTCCTGAAGCAGGGATGCAGGTCTCAGTTCCCAAAAAGCTGGGCAGGCAGAAAATATTTTTGCCATTGTTACAGGCCATTCTCTCTGCAACAATACTTTGTTACCCTGGAAACTTAACATAAGAAATTACTTAATATAGGCCTGGGAGGCATTCTTTGATTGAAATTGTAATTAAGAAAGCTTAAATCTACCTTGCAAAAGGTACAGATATTCTTTTGCCTGAGAATGGACTGCATTAATAAAGAGAGTTAGCCAAGAGCAGAAGTGGGGGATGGTCAGAAAACACAAGGTTTCCAAGGGTCTCTTGCACTGTCTACATGAGAAGCCACCTTAAGCACAAATATCTTTACACTGTGGAAATTCAAAGCCTCATGGTTACCTCATGAATTTTTTTTTGAGACAGTCTCTCTTTGTGGCATCATAGCTCACAGCAACCTCCAACTCTTGGGCTCAAGCAATCCTCTTGCCTCAAGTAGCTGACTACAGGCACCTGCCACAACAGCTGGCTATTTTTAGAGATGAGGTCTCACTCTTGCTCAGGCTGACCTCGGCCTCCCAGGCTGCTAGGATTACAGGTGTGAGCCACCATGCCTAGCCTACATCATGAATTTTTTTATTTATATTGATTTGATCTTATTGAAGTTCACCAAAAAACACTCTGGAAAAGTGGGATGCAGTGCATTTTTGGCTTTGACACCCAGTTCTGATTTGTAATATGTGCCACATCATTATTTAAACTACTATAGTTGTTAGGTAGATAGTAAGGGACCTCCCAGACTCCTTTGCCTTGGTGCTACCTCGAGCAATTGCCTCACTTGGGAAGAAGGACAAGGGAGGCCATCTTGGTACTGCCCCACCTAAATCTTGCCCTGGACAACTGCCACATCTGAGAGAAGGAAGAACCCCTGCTAGTTTGCAAAAGAAGTGAGGACCTCTCCCCTGAACCCCCCACCCCCGCCTCACAGTCCAGGCGGCCCAGGCAGAGTAGGATGTGGAATGTGACCTAGAGTAACCTAAGGCTAATTATCAGCTTCTTAACAGTCCAGCAAAGTGTTTCTGAACCGCAACGAGGACCCGATTCAGACACTATGAAATAGGACTTCAGACCATTGCCAGAGTCTTTTTGTTACAAGAAGGGAGCCTACAACAAACACACTTGCTACTCTTGCTCTGTAAACCTATATCTTGTTCTTGCTCTTGCTCTGTATTTTGTAGAAAGTGTCTTATACTTCCTCAATAAACTTGGTTTCACATTTGCCTTGCTTTTGTTAGGTCTGTTCATTCTTCAGCCAAGAGCATAGTAAACCCAAGAACAAGATTGCTGAATGCCAACATATTCATTAGCTACCACTTACATACTATAGGCAGTCCACAGCTTATGAATGAGATAGTTTCTGTAGGTTTGTTCTTAAGGTGGATTTGTATTTAAGTTGGAATAGGTACATTTACCTATTACCTGTAAGAGCCTCAGTTCATAGTTTGTAAGTGTGAGTTGTATGTAAGTTGAATGTTTGTAACTTGGGGGTTGCCAGTACATTGACTCATTCAGTGCAACAGTTGCCTTGAGCAATGAGCAAACCATTTTGTTGGAAGATGTATGATTATAAAGACAGATTATAAAAACATGGAAGCAATCCAAATGTTGATTATCCGATGAATGGAAAAATAAAATGTGGTATATACATATAATGAATGTAATCAGCCTTAACCAAGAAGGAAATTCTGACACATGTTATAATATGGATGAAACTTGAGGACATTGTGCTAAGTGAAATAAGCCCGTCACAGAAAGATAAAATGTTATACGATCCACTTATGCCTAGAGCACTGAAAGAGTTCAGAGAATTTTACCCTAAAATATGACTCCTTGGTATAAAGAATATTTTGTATTAAAGGCCCTTAGAGACCAACAGGTTTTGGAAGAGACATTCCCACTGTCTTCATAGAAAAACAGATGCACCCATCAAGAATAATAATTGGTTTTCTTTCCTCTTCCTGTTATCTCTATTTCTATTGCAGGAGAGATGATCAAGAATACAATCAGAGACTGGGCAGGGTGGCTCAGGCCTGTAATCCAGCACTCTGGTAGCTGAGGCAGGAAGATTGCTTGAGGCCAAGAGTTTGAGACCAGCCTAAGCAAGAGCAAGACCCCTTTCTACAAAAAATAGAAAAAAAAAATTGCAGATATCGTGGGAATACTCTGGAGGCTGAGGCAGGAAGACTGTTTGAACCCAGGAGTTTGAGATTGCAGTGAGCTAAGACAAAGCCACTGCACTCTAGCCAGATGACAGAGACAGACTTTGTCCCAGGAATAAAAACTAAACAAAACCATTTAAGAGAAGCCTCCTGTTGATTCTTTTTATTTTATTAAGTCACAACTGTGTACATTAATGCATTTATGGGGTACAATGTGCTGATTTGATGTACAATGTGGAAAGCTTACATCAAACTTGTTAATATAACCATCACCTCAATTGCTTGTTTGATGTGGTAAGACATTTATACTCTACTCTTAAAAGTTTTAAAATGTACCATTGCATTATGCACATTAGGCGAAGTCCCACCTCCTATTGATTCTTGAAAACACTAGGCCCTGCCTGTGCTGTGCTTCCTGTTCTCGGTTCAACGGTCTCTCCCAAGGTTTGAACGTCAAAACCCTTGCTGGCCCAGCAGATGGCGCCACCTTCCGCATTGCGCCTCCAGGCACGCAGGGGGCGCTCTGGCCGAGCCTCTATTCCCTCGCCTCTATGACTCTTTCTTCCGCTTCCGAGCCCATATAAGCTCCTTCGCCCTGGTGTCGGTGCGCCCCGTGCATGCGCCGGGCTATTAGTGCGTAGGGAGTATGGCCGCGTCTTCCAGTGGGGAGAAGGAGAAGGAGCGGCTCGCAGGCAGCGTGGGGGCTGCCGGTGGTAACAGCACGCGAGAGCGGCTGCTGTCTGCGCTTGAAGATCTGGAGGTCTTGTCGAGGTAATGAGGTCTGCCTCAGAGCCCGGCTGGGGTTGTGGCGGGGGGCTGACCCCGGAGTTGATCCGGGCGCTTGGCGGGGAGAACCTAACTCGGGGGAACCTCTGGGGCACAAGTGTTGAGGACTTGGGGTCTGCAAACCTTCAGAACTTTGGGAGGTGTATTTTTCCCACTGGGGGATATTTTAGAATGATAGGGGTCCTGGAACCCCAGGAGTGTAAGAGCCGTAGCAGAACTTCAGAAATCGCGCCATCTCAGCCCCGTCGGCCACCGACACTGAGCTAACATTTATGGAATTGCTCCTGGGTGCCCAGTGCTGGGGAGGTGGAAGCTAAGGGGCGGCTGGATGTAGATTGTTTAAAGGGAGTGACCGTGTGTAAAGTGATTGAAGGGATCCCCTGCAGGCTACGGGAGCACAGGGACTAGGCACCTTTTCCGGCTCTGGTCAGGGCAGGTTTCCTGAAAAAAAGAGTTCAACGGACTCACTAGGCAACCGGTAGATACAAAAGCCTGGAAACGCGACCGGGAGCATCCACGACTTGGAATTGCAATTTAGTAGTTTCGGATGACTAGAGTACAGCTTATGTGGCAGAGATAGATGAACTTGGATATCATTCTCCATATTCTGTCACCTTTCCTGATAAGTCTTTCAACTTGGAGTCTTTCTTAACTCCCTCATTTAACTTGGTTGTTAAATTGTATTGGTTCTACCTCCTAAATGTTCAGATTTGACCTCATTCCTATCCCCGCTGTCACTACTTACCTTAATTCTTATGCATTTTATCCTTTTGAGTTGCCTAAGACTTTTTTTTTTTTTTTTGAGTTAGAATGCCATGTCACACAGCTCACAGCAACCTCCAACTCCTGGGCTTAGGCGATTCTCCTGCCTCAGCCTCCCTGAGTAGCTGAGACTATAGGCGCCCGCCACAACGCCCAGCCATTTTTTGGTTGCAGTTTGGCTGGGCTGGGCTTGAACTCACCACCCTAGGTATATGGGGCCGGCGCCCCACCCACTGAGCCACAGGCGCTGCCCAAGACCGGTTACTGTTTTAAAAGGCATTTCATATCACTTTTCTGCAGAAAAATATTTGGTAGGTTCCCATTGTCCAGTGTTGTTACGCCCAAATTCCTTAAGTTTGTGCGGCAAGTTCATTTTCCATCTCTCTCAGCCCATCCTGTCCTCCCTCATTTTCTGCCACACCCCTCTGCCCTCCTTAACCCTCACTCTAGCCTTGGTGAGTACTCGCCATTCCCACACTAGCCAGACTTTATCATCAGTGCCCTTCCCACTCCACTTCCAAATTAATCCTTCAAAATCCAGCTCAAATGTCACCTTTTTTGTAGATAACATTCTTTGACAGCTTCAAAATAAATCTTATCTCCTGTATTTTGAAATATACCTGATGTAATTAACAATAGGCATTTTACCTTTACTGTACTTTCTTTTTTTTAGACAGAGTCTCCCTCTGTCACCCCGGGTAGAGTGCAATGGCACGTCTTCATAGCTCACAGCAACCTCAAACTCCTGGCCTCAAGCAATCCTCTTGGCTCAGCCTCTCAAGTAGCTGGGACTACAGGGGCCGCCCACAACACTTATCTGATTTTTCTGTTTTTAGTAGAGATGGGATCTTGCTCTTGTTCAGGCTGGTTTCCAACTCCTGAGCTCAAGCAATCTAACCACCTAGGCCTCCCAGAGTGCTAGAATTACAGGCATGAGCCACCTCTCCTGGCCTTTCACCTTTGCTGTAAATTTAGTCCCTGCCACAGAGTTACTTACCAGGATACTAGGTCAGCATGATATTAAATGATGAAAGAAAAACCTAAAAGCACAGATACCAGAACACATGGTATTAAATGGCTTACGCGTTTAATCCACTGTTTAAACTGTATTAGACTCAGATAATATCTGACGACAAATAGGGCACATGGAATTTTCAGCTGGCCAGTGATGAGTACCATGAGCAAGAAACTCATAGGCACAGGGCAGCTGTCTTAGGGTATTGCCTCTATGCGAATGATTACACAGATTAATGCAAGCTCTATCTTCTTTGTCTGTGCTGGTTTTATACTTTGTGATGAAGACTTTGTTGGTTTCTTTATAATTAGTTAGTCCTCTTAAATGAATACCTGCATCATTTCTCAGTAAAAAGATACTGGCCAGACAGAGCATTTGTAGTATGATGTTTTCGGTTAAATTAGTGATGTCTTTGTTCTGTACTACATTACTGTCTTTAGGACAGCTGATTAAAGCTTCATTTAGTTCATGTTGAGTTCTTATTCTTTTTAAGTTATTAAACAACACATTAACATCCCATGAAGGCTGCCTAGCCCACTGCTTTTCTAAATAGGACCAACTTTCATTTGAAAAACTCAGTGTGCTGAACCTAACCAGTGCTTTTAGAACCATTGATCTGCCATAGCAAGTCTCTGAAATACCTTGAAGAGGTAGCCGTGTAGTTCTAATGCAAGTTTGTGCTGCACTGAATTTAGAACAACTAATGATTAACTGGGAAATACCTCTGCTGCTCCTGTATGAGCCAATTTTTCCAGTTCTTTGAATTGTGGATGTTCTGCCCGAAGTATTCCCTTGAGCTATTTCTCCTGGGAGAATTCTTACCTGAAGGCTAAGTCTAATACTTGATTGGCTTCTGACATCTTTGTTAAGGAATCTTGATGGTGCTGCTGAGTGTGAAATTAGTCTAGTTAAAGTGTTCCTTATTGTTTGTGTATTTTGACCAACCATATGGTATGGATGGTAGCGATTAATTTTTCTCAGAATACATTGTCTTCGTGAAGAAGTGACACCCTCTTTGGGAAACAGTGGCTGCAGTCTTTTGTTCTGAGTAGGTCTTGTTCTTAGAACTTCAAATCTTTGCCTTAGTATATCCAATGAACTATTACTTCTCACCTTTCTGCTCTTGAGCTCAGTAAATTCATTTCTTTTCTGAGCTTTACTTGCTGTACCATTTCTGTTTTGTTGAGTAGCCCTGGTATATATTTCATGTTCACCAAGTTCAGGAACTGTTTTTCTGAGCCTGTCCATCCAAGGTAATGGTCTTTGAGAATTTCTTCTGACATTGGACAATCCAGTGGTCAGTCTCGAGATCTTGCCTTTGGATCGTCTGGCCGCTTGGTTGTATATCTGAAGTGTGTTTTCCTGATGCTTTCGATACCTACAGGATTGCATATACTTGATATTCATGTACTCTTCACTTGGGATAGCATCATCGAGTAATTTGTTAGTTAGGTTAAAGTTTAGACTAAATAGAAATTCTCTTGCATCTAGAGTCAACCAATTTGTAACTTTGCATATTTGATTTTTGCCTTCATTATTGAGGATAGCATTTCCCATTTGATGAAACAGGTTTACCCACTGAAGTAGTGGATGGTCATTTACGTTTTCCTCGAGAACCTCAGTGTTTCTGAAATCTCCTTCAGCCTTCCAGTTGTACATTATCAGTTGAGGTACTGAGTTCTCTTTTGCCTCCTCTAAAAGAAGCTGTAGTTCTGTTGTCCTTTTTCCATAAGTGCCAAAAAGACTTTGACGTCTTATTAATTTGTAATCTTCCTTACTGAATGTACTGACAGTTTGGTGATAGGATTCTTCTTCCTTGAGGGGCTGGGTGGTCAGTATTCGTGACCATTGTCTTGAAAGCTCATTTTTCTTTGATTTTTTCATGACTTATCCACCACGTTATTTGTTCATCTCTAAAGAAAAAGCAAGTGACAGTAGGTAAATGAAATATGTACCTCTTTTGTGAAGCTGGAGATGGTGGTGGTATAGAAGAGATGTCACTTTCTGGTTTGCCACCTAAGGCTCATGGGAACTCCACAGAATGAACCTAGTCAAGTGTGATTGGCCTTCAGAAAAGTCCCATTGTGTGCTCACTCTCAGACTTAGTTACATGTACTGATTCTGTGATATATGAAGTTTGTCATTGGCCTCTTGGTATTTGTGTACGGTTGCATTTTATAAAATGTAAGAAGAAAATCTCACTACTGTGCCCTTTTTGGGGGAGGAGGGGACAGAGTCTCTCTTTGTTGGCTCAACTGGAGTGCTCTGATATCAGCCTCGCTCAAAGAAACCTCACACTCCTGGGTTCAAGCTATCCTCCTGCTTCAGCCTCCCAAATAGTTGGGACTACAAGTATCTGCCATGATGCCCAGCTAATTTTTCTATGTTTAGTAGTGATGGGGTTTCTTGCTCAGGCTGGTCTCGAACTCCTGAGCCCAAGAGATTCTCCTACCATGATCTCCCAGAGTGTTAGGATTACAGGCATGAGCTACTGTGCCCCACCATGCCTTACCTGTTTTTATATTGAGCCTGTTGACTTTAGAAAATAGCAGATATGAAATTTAGGATTTATTTTTACTGTTAGGATTATATAGTTTTTCAGTATATTTGTTACCAGGTAAAATGTAATAGAGTGAAGCAGTCTTTAGAGGAAATTAAAACAATAGAAACAGATTGTAGTTTAAAAGTTTTTCTTAACCTGTCTATATGTCAGAACTCATTGTCTCACAGAAACCATATAGAGAGGGATCTTGAGGTTTCTACACCAACTTGTTAATTCTTGTTAACCATAATTTACCTGAAGGATACTACCACTAATAATATGGGCTCTAAGCCCTATGTCCACTATATTTCTATGGGAAAATGTGGCTGGATCCTAATGTGGTAAGCCAGGAATGCTTTTTTCTTCCTCTGTGGCAGGAAGAGGCTCTTATCTCCACACCTGTAACCAGAGTGGGCACAGGCACCCTTCAGCCTCTTCTCACCATTGGAGAGAGTAGAGGTTTCCATTCTGTCTTGGACTGTTAAGAATGTCACTAAGTCTCAGAGGTGACATCTTCTTCCCCTGTACTCCTCTGTGCCTAAGGCAAACCCATGTAAAGTTTTCTGTGGATTTACATTCCCAGATCTATGAGAAAAACAAAAAGGCTCCTTTTCATTCCCTGCCCTAGTCCTACTGCAGTTACCATCATCCTCCCCCTGCCAGAAACCAGCTTTTACTTAGACTAAAAGTTCTTGACTGTCTCATCTGTGGAGTATGGAAAAAGGTTCATGTGATGTGCTGTTTTCATATAATTTCAATTTAATCCATCTCAAAGTCCAGACAGCTCTACCTCCAAAAGATAGCCGACATCTGTCTGTGTTTCTCCCACTAACTACCATTATTAAATACGATAGGCTAGGACCTAGTCAAAGCCAATGCCTGTGATCTTTTGCCTAGAATACTATAAAACCACCTAACGTGTTTCTTGTTCTGGAGCTCTTACAGTCTATTTACCAAATAACTCAGGAATTATTTAGAAATATAAATCAGGTCATGTCCTTTGCCTGTTTAAAATGATTAGTGGCTTCCTATTGGACTTTTTGTGTTTTTTATTTCAGGTTAATGTGTGGGTATAAACAACCAGGTCACAGTGTTTGAATTTGTTATGGAGAGTCCCTCTTTTAGTTGTGTCCCACACCCGAAAGGTGTGCCATACAACCCCACACTGTGCCCATTTTCCTTTTGGAATTTGAATGAAACACTAATCCTTTACCATGACTACAGGCCCTACATAATCAGGCCCTGCCTGCCTGCCTTGTCCTCTCCACAGTGCTTGTAGTGCTCTGGCTGCACCTCTGCAAACCCATCTGTGGGCCACTGAACTAGCTCTGCTGAGTGTTCTTTCCTCTCAGAATGTTTTGGTTGGCTTCTCTCAAGACCTGACTACCCAGTTTAAGTAGATCCCACCTCCTGGACAGTCTCTACTATAGCACTCTGCGTTATTCCCTTCCCAATCCTTATTACTCTGGTTTTATTTCTTCTCTTATTCTCCCCTGTGTTAGAATGTACGTGCCATTGTTCACTTTTATAACCCAAGTATCTAGAAAGTGGCTGGCACATAAATAGGCACTCAATAAACATTTGATGGATGAGTAAATGAATGCTTTGTGTTCTTATATGTGCTTTCCATTAATTAACACATAATGATGGGGGAAATATAATGGTTGGGGTTAAGTCCAATTGGCATCATCTTGAAAAATGGTCTGAGGCTAGCAGGAGGAAGGTAGAAAAAGAAAGGTAAAAATAATTTGGCAGTCGGTGAGAAGGTCCCAACACTTGGTCTGACTAGAGCAGTATCAGGTAGCTAGTTGTAAGGCTGCCTTATCCTGCATAATTTCTGAAAAGTCCCATCTATCAACAAGTTCAAGACTAATACATAAATATTACCTGCTATACATTTTTTTCTTATTTGTTACTAACTTTCATATAGGAAAATTGGCATATCTGTTAAGTGAGCCTTCTAGAAGGATAGAATTTTACCATGTGTGAAAATCTCTTAGCTGGTATTTGTTTAATTAAAAACAACATTTAAAGTGGAGAGTCATTAAAAAATGATCTATGCATCCCTTAATTGCTTTATTTTATTTTTTTTCATGTTTTTATTAAATCATAGCTGTATACATTATTGCAATTATGGGGTACAATGTGCTGGTTTTAATTGCTTTATTTTACCTTAAAATATATAATGTTTCTTCGCTAATTTCATATAAGACAAAGGTCAGGAAAGTTTTTCTTCAAAGAGCCAGATAGTAAATATGTTTGGTTTTGCGTAACCCATGGTCTGTGCTGCAGCTACTCAGCTCTGCCCTTGTAGTGGAAAAGCAGCCATATACAGCATGGAAACTGATGGATGGGCTTGCTTTCTTCCAAGAACACATTACTCACAAAGACTGCAGATATGTGGCTTTGGTCTACAGACTTTTGATGTAGAAGTTTTTCATGCATAAATCATTCAGAATGCATTGCCATGATTTCTGGTTTGATTTCTAAGAAGTCTTAGACTAGACTCTGGCTGAGTTTCCGTGACTTTTCCATGGTTGTTTATAGTTGTCCTTCGCAAACCTCTATTGAGTCTTTCCAAGCATTTGGCTTAGTTTTTATAGAAAGAACTTAATGCGCTCTCACCTAACAGGCACACTTCCTGAGTGAGGAACTACACCTTACCCTCTACAACTGACACGCTACGTAACAAACGCAAAAGGTGTAACCCAAGCATCTGTACCCTCATGTTAATCTGAAATTTTAAAAAAAGAACTCTATTCACAATCATATCTTATTGGTATTTGTGTGATCGATATTTATATAATTATAGTGATAAGCAAAACTTGTATAAGTAAGTTTGGTAACAAGCACAGCTGGTCTTGGTGAGAGTGCAGTGTAGCAGTGAGAGCTGGAATCCACAGTCCTGGGGGACCATAGGGCAGTTGCTGAAGTGTTCAGCATGCTGTGAGTACCTCACATCCAGCAAGTCAGCTAGATAGAGAGCAGAGCAGTTAAGAAGGGTGGCGCTGTGGCTCAGTAGGGTGCCAGCCCCATATACCAAGGGCAGGTTCAAACCTGGCCCCGGCCAAACTGCAACAAAAAAATAGCTGGGCATTGTGGCGAGCGCCTGTGGTCCCAGCTACTCGGGAGGCTGAGGCAGGAGAATCTCCTAAGCCCAGAGGTTGCTGTGAACTGTGACTCCACAGCACTCTACCAAGGGTGACAAAGTGAGACTGTCTCTAAAAAAAAAGAAAGAAAACATCTAGTGTAAGTAGAAACTTTGTAAATTTTTTTTGTTGTTGGTTTGTTTTTCTTTTAGGGAACTTATAGAAATGCTGGCAATATCAAGAAACCAAAAGTTGTTACAAACTGGAGAGGAAAACCAGGTAAGTGATTTCTTTTTTTAATTTAAAAAACAAAACCAATAATTTCTGCAAGTTTCCTATTTATATATACTTTGTGTAAGGACAGGAAGATTAGAGCCTGTTATTAATTAAAACATTAAAACTGATATTTTCTTTGCCTCCTGTACATAACAGTATGCCTAAGAAGAAAATAGTTGCCTAAAGTTTTGGCAGTATGTTATTCTTTTCCCTTATAGTTCTAGTTATACTTGCCCATTTATGTACTTTTGTCTTTTGAATTAACCCAAAAAATTTTGTTAAATGGAGATTAAAGCCATATTTGGAATCAAAAGTTAGTGCTGTCATAAACTTAGCCATTTATTAGGCCTAATTTCCCTAAAGAAACTTAAAAATGAATGGAAATGAAAGAGCATACAACTGTTAGTAGAGGTTATCTTGTGGATATTGAATTTATAGGTAGTTTTTATTTGCTTTATACTTTTTTTTTGAGACCAGAGTCTGTCTTTGTCACCCTTGGTAGAGTGCTGTGGCGTCACAGCTCACAGCAACCTCAAACTCCTAGGCTTAAGTGATTCTCTTGCCTCAGCCTCCCAAGTAGCTGGGACTACAGGCACCTGCCACAATGCCTGGCTATTTTGGGTTGCAGTTGTCATTGTTGGTTAGCTGGTCTGGGCTGGGTTCAAACCTGCCAACTTTGGTGTATGTGGTTGGCACTGCAGCCACTGTGCTATGGGCACCAAGCCTATTTGCTTTATACTTTTCTGTGCTTCTAATTTTCTATAGTGAACATATTTTTTTTCTGAGTCTGAAAATTTTTAAAGTTACATTTTGTATTATGCTTTTACCAAATTTAAAAAATATGTGTAAGAGAAAATGAATGAGGATGATTAATCTTTCTAGAGAAGATGTAAAACAGGACACAAGCCAAGTGTGGCGTCTCACGCCTGTAATCCCAGCACTCTGGGAGGCTGATGCAGGTGGACTGCCTAAGTTTAGCAGTTCAAGATCAACCTGAAGCAAGAGCCAGACCCTGTCTCTAAAAATAGCCAGGCGTTGTGGCAGGCGACTGTAGTCCCAGCTACTTGGGAAGCTCAGGCAAGAGAATCGCTTTGAGTCCAAGAGTTTGAGGTTCGAGGTTGCTGTGAGCTGTGACACCATGGCACTCTACTGAGGGCAACAAAATGAAACTAACTATGTCTGAAAAAAACAAAAAACCAAAACATCCCCCCAAACAGACAATATCTCACAGACCTTTTCTTCCCATCCTCTGCCCCTTCGTTATCCAAATTTTATCTTATGACATGTTTTGTTTTGAGGGAGAGACATCTGATGGGCCCAATAGAGAAGTGTCAAAGAACCTGTTTTCTTCAAAGATTAAGGATCCAGATAAGACCACAAGTTAGAGAAAACCACTAACTTTAGGGTATTGGGATTTTTGTTTGTTTTTATGAAAAGAAAGGCTAGAGGTAAATATGTTAATAGAATACTCCTTGTCTCTCAGATACTCTGTTAATAGATGCTTGTGGGATTAAAAAGGAATGTATACAAAATGTGTGAGAAGTAGAACGCAAGGCTAGACTTAATCTAGACATTTGTTAAATACGTACTCCCTGTGAGCCAGGCACACAGATTATTCAGAAGATGATAGTAAGACCTACATAATCAGCACTTCTTGTTTTTGTTTTGAGACAGAGTCTCACTTTGTTGCCTGGGCTAGAATTCAGTGGTATGATTATAGCTCACTGAACATCATACTCCCAGGCTCAAGAGATCCTTCTGCCTTAGTTTTCCAAAGTGCTTAGGATAGGCCTGAGCCACTGCCCCTGACCTACCTTACACATTTTAAGGAGTCACAGTTCTGTGAATGTATATAGTTTAGCACCGTTGATTCCTGTATAATTTTCATTGGGGATTTGCCGATTTGAAAATAGGATATGCCGGGCGGCACCTGTGGCTCAGTGGGTAGGGCGCTAGCCCCATATACCAAGGGTGGCTGGTTCGAACCCGGCCTGGGCCCACTAAAACAGCAGTGACAACTGCAACAAAAATAGCCAGGCATTATGGAGGGTGCCTCTATAGTCCAGCTACACGGAGGCTGCAAGAGAATCACCTAAGTCCAAGAATTAGAAGTTGCTGTGAGCTGTGATGGCATAGCACTCTACCAAGGGTAACAAAGTGAGACTTTGTCTCAAAAAAAAAAAAAAAAAAAAGAAAATAGGATGTGCCTATTTGAAAATTTTCTTACCACCATTTTGAGTACTCATAATTTCACATTGAATTTTGGAATTAGGATAGTAATGGTCTTCACTTAAAGCTTCTGTGAGATGACCTTCAGTATGAACAAATGAACTAGAGGTCCATGGTGAGTGGAACCACACCCTAGGTCTTCTGACTTTAGTTGAAAAATTTTTTCCTACTAAACAATAAAATCTATAGAGTCTGTTATCTTGAAAGTTGTTATGGAACTGAGTGAGACAGAGTCTCATTTTATCACCCTTTTACCACCCTCATAGAGTGCTATGGTGTCACAACTCACAGCAATCTCCAACTCCTGGGCTTAGGTGATTTTCTTTTTTGTTGTTGCAGTTTGACTGGGGCTGGGTTTGAACCCGCCACCCTCGGTATATGGGGCTGGTACCTTACCCACTGAGCCACAGGCGCCTCCCAATAATACAGCTTTTATAGAAATGGAAACCTAGCTTTCTCCTTATGACTTGGAGAAATGGGGATTAGAGAGCTATTGGACAAATAGAATACACCTTTTATAGAAAAAGCTTGTTTAAAATACTCTTTAATACACAGAAGTTATACCATAGTCTTTTGTCTGTTACACACAATTCCTATCAAAATGAGAAGCACTTTATGTCAAAATGATACTGTATTTTTTAGTTTTCAATAAAATATTGTAGATTTTGATAGTCATTTCCTTTATGATATATTATTCCCTTTTTAGCACAGTTAAGTACAAGTATTTAGAATTGTATCTTAATTCTGCAATGGGGTGATGATACCAGCCTTTAGAAGGCTCTTCCTGTGTCTACTTCATGTGCATTTTATCATGAATCCTCATAACTTCTTATAATAGCTACTCTTACTATATCCCTTTCCCTCCTACTGAGAAAACAGGCTGAGAATGGCTGGTAACTTTCCCTCTCACACAGCTAGCAAATGGAGGACTAGAGATACGAACCCTAGACTTTGCATTTTATACATTTTAACCTTCATGACTTTTTGCCATATCTGCATATGACCTATTTATTTACTGTTTTTTGAAATCACTATATTTTTAAACCATCTTCATTCTAAGCTGTGCTGTGTCTGAAATCACAGGTTTAATGTCCTAGTTAACATTTTTTTCTAATACATATTAGCACAAATGTGTACCTGCAAAAGTCTGAGTTCTTGGTGCCATCTAAAATCATCTCAAGTACGAAATTCTGTGAGAACCTCCATTATACTGCATTTTTAAGGATATACTTTTAAATTTTCTCTGGGAAATGAATAAACCTGCACGTGTTGGCATATTACTTGTCCTAGAAGGGTGATTTTATTTTGTATTAAAGAATAGCAGAAAAAGTAGAAAACCTTGATAATAATCTATTTCCAAAAATAATCAAAGCAGGCTATTTTTTTAAACAAAGATCAGAAATAATATTTTGAGGATGTTAACATTTTATAGCCTAGCCAATTCATATATGGATTCTTTGTTTCATTGAAATGTAGCCTTTCAGTATTTTATTGTCTGATTTAATCAACTATCATCTGACAGGTCCTGGAGTTGCTAATTCACCGTGATGGGGAATTTCAAGAACTAATGAAATTGGCACTTAATCAGGGAAAAATTCATCATGAAATGCAAGTTTTAGAAAAAGAAGTAGAGAAAAGAGACAATGATATTCAGCAACTACAAAAACAACTAAAGGAAGCAGAGCAAATCCTGGTAAGTTGACAGAGGTTGTTCTTGTGGTGAAAAGGGATATTGTTTGTTTATTCTGTCAGTATTTTGGAGAGCAGAAAATGATTTTCCAGATATAAAAATGACATCTTCTCAGTGGTTAAATGAAAGTCCATTCTCATTCTCCTATTATTTTCAGTTAGTCTGCATTACATTTGAGCCACATTTTCATTGTTTAAAGATATCCCAGTATGGAATTATGGAAATGGAAAGTTTTGCTTTATCCTAATCTGATATAAGTTTTAATTATTAATAATTGAAATCTTCAGGGCAGGGGCTCATGTGTGCACATGCACAGTCTCTTTCTCATCCTTAGGCTAAACAGGTACTATTTATTAAAACCAAAGTTTTGAGACAGAGTTTTACTTTGTTGCTCTTGGTAGAGTGCTGTGTCATCACAGCTCACAGCAACCTCAAATTCTTGGACTCAAGTGATTTTCTTGCCTGAGCCTCCCAAGTAGCTGGAACTACAGGTGTCTGCCACAATGCCTGGCTACTTTTTTCTTTTTTTTTTTGTTTAGCAGGCCTGGGCCGGGTTTGAACCTCGGAGCCCTAGAGCATGTTGCTGGCACCCTAACCACTGAGTACAGGCACCACCCAAAACTTAAGTATTTTTTATGTAATTATATCTTCTATGTTTAGTTTCTAGTTTTGTTACAAATAATACTTTGATATCTTTGCAGATGAAATTTTTTTCCATTGCATTTTGATTACACTCTTTGGATTAGATCCCCACAATTGTAATTATTGAATTAAAGA